CGTCGTCAGGGAAACTGGGTAGGTTCAAATGCCTAAGGAGTACCACCTAGATCCCTACCATCACATCATGCTCCCAGCTTACCCAGCTTGCATATGCTTAGGCTGGGCCAAGGGCTCAGCGACCTCCTCCATGGTCTCAACACCAAAGCCCATAACGTCAATGCACCACACCGTAGAGAACTTCACGGGCAACCCCTTGGCATCAGGTTTGCACAGGTAACTGATCAGAGGTTTTCATAGGATGATACCGAGGCCATTGTTACTACATGAAGAAAGCCTGCCAGCCTCCAGCCAATATGACGGCCACAAGGCCAGTGATTGCTCCACCAAACTCCGTGATAGCATAGGTATCCTCCTTCTGCACTTCGTTGATATACAGAGCGGTATCGATAGATTGAAGGGCGAGTGGTACGAACAACAGGAAGAGCTGCAAGGTAAAAATTCAACATGAGCTCACGCGTCCATCGACTCACCATGACCATATTCTCCCGAGGGGTAAGGAGGGCATTGATCTGCATATGGATATATGCAGCAGTGAAGCAGCATATAGTATAAGCATAAGCGGCCCATGGTTGGTTGAAGAACACTCCATAGTATGCCAATGAGAAATAGGACATTGCAGTGAGCAACTGATTAGTGCCTGATCGAGACAAGGTAATACGACCATATACCTCTGAGGAGTATTACCCCAACACATGCAGACCCTGGCAAACGCCTCGTGACACTGCCACTTCTTGTGCATCATGTTAAAGAGGTTGAAATGCGCCAGGAATACCTCCCAATCCGTGGTCAAATCAGCCACGCCCTGGAGGAAGACCAGCAGGTCTTATCTTATAGGAGTACTCCCGCCAGTATTACCCTGTTGGGTCTGTTCTTGTTCGCCAAACTCGAAGGTTGTGTCCTCAACTCCTTGGGGATATCATGACCATACTTTCGCCCTTGCTCGAACACAATAGGCACACGGAGCATCGACACGACACCACTGGCTGAAAGAATACAAGGTGATAAA